AAATTTTGATTATTATTGCTTATATATGCCAGTGTCTATGCCTAGCACATGATAATTAAAAAAAAATATCTAGTCCGTCATTGGTCGAGATTATTCTCACAACCAATGACATGGTGGACCGCGATCAAGCTCACTTCTGTATCGAACTGACATCTTACAAAATAGCATACAATGCGCGCAGAACTAGTTGGCCGCGCTTTAGGTGGCGGCACATACCTGAAGTGCGGCCAACTAGTTCCGCGCGCACTATAGCTACTTTCTGATAATACTGCACCGAGGTGAATAGAATTCAAGTCTTATTTAGATAAATACAGGGGTAAATAAATGCTAGAACCTTTTCCCCACTTGTACTCATTTCTTGAGTTCTATTCATCCTGTTTTACAAAGAGTTTGAGTTTGAATATCCTAAGTTTTAGCTACAGTACATTTACAGTTATCTAACTGTAACTACGCAAACATAAATAATCGTAATCATAAAAGATATCTAGAAAAATTTTGTTATTTGGGATATTTTAAGCAATCTAAGAATAGCATACAGATTGGAGTCCCAATTATATATATATATATATTTTTAATTTCCAGGTCATCCAAGAGCCTTATCCATACAGGATTGAACCATACAGTTCTGTATCAATGGACGCTAAGCCTAAGGTCGTTGACCTGCCTGATAGTCAACCGGCTTTTGAAATAATTGCTCCTGCCGACTCTCCATACATTTATGAGTGAGTTTCAGTTTTTTATTCGTTTTACAATGAGACATAAATAGTTATATAGTGTCGACTTAACTTCGATAAAAATAGTGAAAAGTGGTTATTTGTAATTTTTACACTATTATAAGTCCCATTAAGAACAAGAGTCCCGGTGTTACCTGTAACTGATAGAGCTTCTCTCGAATTATGCGAGTGAGTTAGCCGTCCTTTTAATTATTTGAATAGAAACAAAACGACAGTTTTTACTTAATTCCATAGAGAAACTAAGAGAGAATATTTTTTTTAATTATTTCAACAGAGACATTACGACAGTTTTTACGACGACATAGGAAAATTATTATAAATTGTTTTTTTTTCTATTACAGAGTGGTTCCAAATGCGTGGTCATAGGATTGGGACTGTCTAGTTTGGAAAAAGAATGATAGGAAATAATTAAAGTTAGTTTCAAGGATACAAATAAAGATTGATGTTTTGAGAAAACGATACTTAGTTTTTTTTATTATTTATTTATAAGCATCATTCCTATTTTCCTTACCTCCTATCCCGTGATATGATGTGAATTTTAGATTTATTTTTATATTAATCTTCACATCAGAGAGTATTTACCTTATTATCTTTCAACTTGTAAGACCTATTAAATTCAAATACATTTTTAGTACAGCTTCATACCCGTATTGTTAAAATCAGTCAATAAAAATCTTCGCAGCTTATGCAAAGCATCCGTTTTCATCATGCATCCGTTCTTCAATATAAATTCAGGTCAGCAATCACACACGAACATGGAATCTTGTAAAGCTAAGGCATACTATTATAATTTATTACCCACCCAAATAGTTATCAATTAATCGTTCAGTAAAATCGTGTTACTCAAACAGAATACAAATGACACGCAACAGGCGACCGCCGACTGACTTTTTACAAGCACTATTTTTTTTTGTTCATACAGCTTGTACGTAATCCTAGTATGCTGTTTGACATGTTGTCTGTGCCCGCAAAGTGACAGGTCAGCATTAAAAAAAAAAGAAAATTCAAGATGGCTACTGTGAAACGCATGCAATGATTCAAATATTTAAAGAATCGGACGTTATTTACATGCTTTAATCACGAATGATATTAGTAGGCATTTTTTATTTACAATCTTCTGGTAATTAGACCTCTTGACACGTAAATTGGTTTTGTTTAATTATTCGTTGCACAAGATTGTAATGTTGTCTGATTCGGCACAGGAAAGGATGTGGTCGCAATCCTTAGTTTCTACTGTACCTATCTACAATGAAGCAACCGTTTCTATCAGTTGTTGTTGTTCAAACAAAAGTAAAACTTGTTTGCAGTATGAATATGTATGCGAATGCAATGACCGAGCCAGTAATCGAGAACAAAAACTAAGTCTATGTGTCAATAGCATTCAGGTGTAAGATGATTATAATTGACTGCTCCAGTGGGACGTTTGTTTTGTTTATTTTATAGAATTGAATGAGTTGTTAATTAAGCTACTGTTTACGCTTGTTAGCAGAAATACTTACTAGGTATTATTGTAGGTAATTTTAAGCACCTAATTTGAGTGCTTAAAAATAGTGCCTACTTTTAGTCACCTGAGTTTGGCTAGACCTGGCTGGTTACATGACAGCAGTGCACATTGCGCTGTACCTGTACGAGGGCTACGCGCACACGCATCCGACATGGTCTGATATCTCCCGCGGTTTGCTTCGATTGTGTACAATATTTACCAACAACGCATGTTCGCCGATTAGTTTTTACTCAAGTACCTAATGATATTCAAATGGGGCGGCATCGACCAACTATTTAGCATTGTTAATTCGATGTTAATAATTTTCGGTGCAGTATAAAAGTGCACGCAATTTGTACTCACCACAACAATTACAGTTCACAGTCCAATTGGTAGTATCGTAGCGAGCAGCGAAACAATAACAATAACGATGTCTCGACTCACGGTGAGGCATCCCATATCTGTCAATTCTCAAATCTTCAAACCATGAGTGCTTATTTGTTAAGAAGTGTGTGATAATAGTGCTGTTAACAATCCAATACAATTCGTTAATTAAAGTTATGTGTTTCAGATTTTCTTTGTTATCGCTGTGGCGTACGGAGTCGTTGCAGACGGTAAGTGTCGTGGCAATATCGTTTGGTTTTGTGGCGTTTCTTTTATGTAGTTACTTGTTTAACCAGTAAACTCTATATAATCAGGTAAAGTAGCAGATTCACGTGCCGAGCAATCCGGCATCATCTCGCCTGTGATTGCGCACGGCGGACTCGGATATGGCGGCTACGCGGGTGGACTCGCAGGTGTAGGCCTCGCGGGCGCCGCGCTCGCTGGAGGCGCCGGTATCGGTATCGGTGGCCCAGCAGTCATTGCTGGCGGACCCGCTGTCATTGCTGGTGGCCCAGCTCTTGGTTCTGGTGCAGCATTGAACAACGCAGCTGCCGTTGGAGCTGCTCAACTGAGCGCCATCCAGAACGCACAAGCTGTCCAAGCTGCACAGATTGCCAACTCAGCTGCCGCTGCCATCCAAGGAGCGCGTGTCACTGAGGCGGCCGCCCGAGCTGGACAGGCTCACGCTATCAACAACGCTGCCGCTTTAGATGCTGCCCGTGTCGCTAACATCCAGCGCGCTCAGGCTGCGGCTTGGGAGAACGCCAGGGCCGCGGAGGCCGCCAGACGTGCGGGAGCTGGAGCTGCACTGGAGGCTGCACGAGCTGCCGAGGCCGCGCGATTGGCTGACGCCGCGCGTGTTCAAGCCATTGCCATCGCCAACACCCGCGCTGTAGAGGCCGCTCGCATTGCCAACGCTGCCCGTGCCCAGGCCGCCGCGGTCGCTACCAGTGCCGCGCAGGCGCAGGCTGTAGCTGACGCGGTCGCTAGGAACGCTCAGGATGGTGCCTTGTTGCTGGGCGGTGGTGGTGCGCTCGTCGGAGGTGGCGCCGTGCTCGCCGGACCCGGTGTCGCTGTTGGTGGACTCGGTGGCTACGGACTTGGACTCGGCGGTCTCGGCGGTCTTGGCGGCCTCGGCTACGCGACTGGCTACGGCTACGGTGCAGGTTACGGAGGTCTTGGCTACGGAGCTGGAAAACTCATCCACCACTAGAGAGCAGTGAATCGACCCAGAGATTATACCCTATTGTCATAGACAAACAGATAATATCTACATCCATTTCGCATTCTTCTATAGAAATGGTTAGCGGCAGATCTTACGAGATTTTGGACTGATCAACGTCATGTAAATATTTAACAATTGGCAATGAAGTCTGTCTTATAATTAAATGTTAGCATACACCGACTGAATCTCTTTTTTCATTGCACTGGAGGCATGAGGTGATGGCAAGATTTTTATCCTTGATAGAGCTACCTCACAATCGGTTATTTGGTCAAGAAAATGCGCGACACTTTTATTACCGATCTCTTCCTACTACATCACTATGCATTTTAATCAAAACTTCACCTGGTTACTCACCAATATGGAGTTTAAAGTCTCTATATACGTTTTACGCACGCATAGAATATAAATACTCAGTCTATTATGCAACGCAATCTGGAAAAATATTACCTATACATTTCATCAAGTGTAATTACTGTGAATATTTCATACTATGAGCGTTTATCCATTTGTACATATAATTGTAAATGCAAAAACAGTATAGTTTGTTTATTTGTTCAATAGTTTATTATCATCATCACAACAGCCACAAGACGTTTACTGCTGAACATAAGCATGCTTCCCCCAATGACTTCTAATGTTCAACGGTTATGTTGAAGTCTCAGAACGCAGAGGTAGACTGAAGATTATAGACGAACTCAGTATGTAATAAAATTGTATATCAGCCAGTCAGTGTGTCTCAATTTATAGTAGCAAGCAAAGCGTTTTAAATTAGTAGTTTCCCTGTACAATGAGTTCACAAGTAATTACTTATTTGTCAACACAAGAAACTCCTAATAGACAAAAGAACATCCCGTCAAAAAAGTATCGGGAAACGGCATTCGTTTGTTTAATAAACGTTTCCCTCTAGGGAAGACTTTCCACAATCTTCGTTTGGCAGTCAGCTTAGGGATGTTGATGGATTGATGGAGGATAGTTAAGTGATAGATATAGAGGATGAAGTTCTTTACATCTCAAATCAATGATACAATGTAGTCGGTGTTAAACAAACACCCAATTAGTTATCTGTAGCACAGAACATATAAAGAAGGTGTAGGGTAGTCCACAAGAAATTCTTGTACTTTTTGAACAGTATCTATAGTCTATTGGCAGCCTAAATCAGAGATTTAGTAAAAAGAAAACTGTAATTTGGTATGAACATGATTTTATACGTGGAGACTATACTGGTCCACCAACTAAGTGGCGCAGCGAGCTATGGACAGGGCTATGCTCGAAGTCACTCTGAAAGATAATTTTAGACCCGGGAATGTCACAGCATAATCAAAGCTGACAAAAGTCATATTTTTGTGAACGCTTTAATTCCTAATCTTCCTTTAAACGACAGAGACATGGTTAGTGCATGAATTGAAAAAGATAAGATAGATGTTCTAAATATAATTATGGTGCTGGAGCACCTACACAGCAGCTTCATATAACTATCGACGATACTGCAGACGCATATACTACAGTGCTTAGGCTGCCTCTAGATACAATAAAAATTCCATGGAATGGGGAAAAGTAGGAGCAACAACACCACTCAATCCTCTACTAGATTGATAAAATAAAGTCCACAGTGAGAAACCACAAAGAAGTGTCGTTACGAGTCAAATGTAATCGTGGGTTTTTCTATTAATTACCTTCACTAGATGCTTTGATTAATGTTTAGGTGCATAAGTACGCGAGACGATCTCCGGCCACCGTAAACATAGGCTTGCGGACGGCGAGCACGCACGGGTGACTCGCCGCCTGACCAGAGCCAGGCCCGAGCGTATGGCGCGTCGCGTTCCGCGCGCGCCTCAAGGAGCCATCATACCACCACAGATGGGGCTCAACAGGGCTGATGACGATACGGAGCAGCGGAAGACTTAACGGGTTGCCGGGGCTCCGGCTTGAAGTGCAGGAGTAGGAACGGGGTGGTTTTTAATCAGTAAGAGTCTGACACTCCTCCTCCCTCCTCACCCAGGCGGGAGAAGTAGGTAATTGGATGATTCTCCCCCCTTAAAAAAAGGAGGGTGTGAGGTTTGAGGTGTTTGTGTGTGTGTAAGAGTGTGTCACACCTTTTTAAAGTTGAAAGCTGGGCAGCTGACTTGGAAATGGAATGCTCCTTTTTTTAAGGGGGGAGAATCATCCAATTACCTACTTCTCCCGCCTGGGTGAGGAGGAAGGAGTGTCAGTCTCTTACTGATTAAAAACCACCGCGTTTCTACTCCTGCACTTCGAGCTGGAGCCCCGGCAACCCGTTAAGTCTTCCGCAGCTCCGTATCGTCATCAGCCCTGTTGAGCCCCATCTGTGGTGGTATGATGGCTCCTTGAGGCGCGCGCGGAACGCGACGCGCCGTACGCTCGGGCCTGGTTCTGGTCAGCCGGCGAGTCACCCGTGCTCGCCGTCCGCAAGCCCATGTTTACGGTGGCCGGATATCGTCTCGCGTACTTATGTACCTAAACATTAATCAAAGCATCTAGTGGAGGTAATTAACCAATAGAAAAACCCACGATTACATTTGACTCGTAAGGACACTTCTTTGTGGTTTCACACTGTGGACTTTATTTTATCAATCTAGTAGAGGATTGAGTGGTGTTGTTGCTCCTACTTTTTCCCATTCAATGGAATTTTTATTGTGTCTAGAGGCAGCCTAAGCACTGTAGTATATGCGTCTGCAGTATCGTCGATAGTTATATGAAGCTGCTGTGTAGGTGCTCCAGCACCATAATTATATTTAGAACATCTATCTTATCTTTTTCAATTCATGCACTAACCATGTCTCTGTCGTTTAACCCGTCGAGTACCGGTTTTGCAGACACAATTATAGAACAATAGGTTGCGGTCACCGGTGACCGCTTGGTGTTTGACAGTTTAAAGGAAGATTAGGAATAAAAGCGTTCACAGAAATATGACTTTTGTCAGCTTTGATTATGCTGTGACATTCCCGGGTCTAAAATTATCTTTCAGAGTGACTTCGAGCATAGCCCTGTCCATAGCTCGCTGCGCCACCTAACTGGTGGACCAGTATAGTCTCCACGTATAAAATCATGTTCATACCAAATTACAGTTTTCTTTTTACTACATAAATCTCTGATTTAGGCTGCCAATAGACTATAGATACTGTTCAAAAAGTACAAGAATTTCTTGTGGACCCTACACCTTCTTTATATGTTCTGTGCTACAGATAACTAATTGGGTGTTTGTTTAACACCGACTACATTGTATCATTGATTTGAGATGTAAAGAACTTCATCCTCTATATCTATCACTTAACTATCCTCCATCAATCCATCAACATCCCTAAGCTGACTGCCAAACGAAGATTGTGGAAAGTCTTTTTTTATGGAATAGGAGGCAAACGAGCAGAAGATAGTAAGCGATCAGCGCCGCCCATGGACACCCGCAACACCAGAAGAATCACAGGTGCGTTGCCGGTCTTTTAAAAAGGAGTACGCTCTTTTCTTGGAGGTTTGAAGGTCGTATCGGTTCTTCTGTCTTAAGTCTTCCCTAGAGGGAAACGTTTGTTAAACAAACGGATGCGGTTTTCCGATACTTTTTTGACGGGATGTTATTTTGTCTATTAGGAGTTTCTTGCGTAGACAAATAAGTGTACCTCTAGACAAATAAGTAATTACTTGTAAACTCATTGTACAGGGAAAATACTTATTTAAAACGCTTTGCTTGCTACTATAAATTGAGACACACTGACTGACTGATATAAAATTTTATGACATACTGAGTTCGTCTATAATCTTCAGTCTACCTCTGCGTTCTGAGACTTTAAACAATCTAGCCGTTTAACATTAGAAGTCTTGTTACATACCATACATATAAAATTATCATATTCTTATTAGCTAAATTTTTTTTATGGGGTAAGCCGGTAAACGAGCGGAAGGATCACCTGATGGTAAGCGATCGGCTTTGCCCATGGACACCTGGACCACCAGAGGCGTTACTAGTGCGTTACCGGCCTTTTGTGGATTAGGAGTTTGAGGATTGTTGGGAATTCAGGGATTGGGAAGATTGGGGAAAGGGGGGGGGATAATTGGGCCTCCGGTAACCTCACTCACACGACGAAACACAACGCATGCGTTGCTTGACGTCGGTTTTCTATGAGGCCGCTGTATCACTCGGTCGAGCTAGCCCATTCGTGCCGAAGCATGGCTCTCCCACACTTAAATAATATTATTATCTAAACTGAAAGGTAGAAACAGTAATTCCGTAAATAAATATAAATATGAATCATATTTTTAAGAATGAGTTAGTTTTCTTCGCCTTTCACCTTAAATATGTAAATCTCTGTTAGGCAAAACGTTGCTATGTTCATTTAGTGAGGCACTGTAATTCGAACTCAGATTAAAGCAAAGTGCACGTGCTATTTATTTGAAGACATATGTTTAGATTTTAATTCTATAGCAAATAAAAACTAAGGTTGACTATTAGAGAATGTCCCTAGGCATTAAGTCCGCTATTGTACCTCTAGACCCACTGTACAAAAAGTGTAAATAAATAAAAATAAATAAACTTTCATTGTCACCCCAAAATGGCTAAGCTTATTGAGATTACATTTGAAGCAAATATTGCTTGTAGATTTAAAATATCTTTACAAGTTAGGTATTAGGTTAGACTTGTAGTCTATTTCAAAAACATTCTTATTTGTTTTAGTTATGAATTAGGGTAATCGATCTAAATCATAATATTATTGCCTACAAATCACCTAAAACACAAACACCCGATCTGAAACATGAACCGAAGACTTTTTCACACGTAATACTACATTTTGACAAGACTAATTACTAATTAACTGTCAAAACGACTTAATACTTGTACGAGGATTAGTTTTTACCCAAGTACCTAATGATATTTAAATGGGGCGGCTTCGATCAACTGTTTAGAATTGTTAATTATTCGCGATGCAGTATAAAAGTGCGTGCAATTCTCAGTAACTACAACAATAACAGTTTGGAGCTCTTTGGTGGCGTTGTGCAGTGCAATAATACATTATCCAACCATGTCCCGACTTACGGTAAGATCGCCACCCTAATTGTGAGAGATTGCATTTAGTGTAAACGGATATTCTTATCCTGAGAATATTATAAATGTTGAAGATTGTTGGGTTGTATGTTACTCCTTCGCATCAAAAGGACTGAAGGGATCGAGATGAAATTTGGGACCGGGGGTAGATTATGATCTTGAGTACCTAACACACAGGCTTCTTTTCATCCTACGGGAACGTGGACGAAGCTGCTAGCTGAAGCTAGTTTATGTTATAAATGTATTAATGTATCACGTTCGCTATTACATTGCAATGCAACGGAGAAACTTTATGACATGATAGTCAGGAGGCTGGAGAAATCTGTACTACTTGATGAAATACATACCCTCGTGGTTACTCACCAGCCATAAATAGATTTATATTTTACCAAAGGAAAATAAATTCGGAATAAGAACGATGGATAGATTAATGCAACAGTGTTTTTAGAATTGTTTTAAATAATTGATAATATTTTATTTCAGATTTTCTTTGTTATCGCTGTCGCGTACGAAGTCATTGCCGATGGTAAGTTGACATGAATTTTTACCTGATCTCATTAGCTCTGATCCTTATAATCAATTCACAATTAATTTTATTGTACTTGTTTATGTCATTTAAACCAATTTTATACTATAGGTAAAGCAACAGATTCTCGTGCTGAGCAGTCTGGCTTCATCTCTCCAGTGATCGCGGCTGGCAACCTCGGACTTGCGGGCGCCGCCATAGCTGGCGGCCCAGGTATAATCGGTGGCCCCGCTGTTGTAGCAGCTGGACCTGCTATTGTCGGAGCTGGACCGGCAGTTGTCGCATCTGGACCTGCAGTAGTTGCAGGAGGCCCCGTGATCGGATCTGGTGCTGCATTAAACAACGCGGCAGCCGTTGGTGCAGCTCAACTAAGTGCCATCCAGAACGCACAAGCTGTCCAGGCTGCACAGATCGCCAACTCCGCCGCTGCCGCTATCCAAGAAGCACGTGCTACTGAAGCAGCTGCTCGTGCTGGTCAAGCACAAGCCATGAACAACGCTGCCGCTCTGAATGCTGCCCGTGTCGCTAACATTCAGCGTGCTCAGGCTGCGGCTTGGGAGAACGCCAGGGCCACAGAGGCGGCCAGACGGGCAGGAGCTGGAGCTGCACTGGAGGCTGCACGAGCTGCCGAGGCCGCGCGAGTGGCCGACGCCGCGCGTTTACAAGCCATCGCTATCGCTAACACACGCAACGTGGAGGCCGCTCGCATCGCCAACGCTGCCCGTGCTCAGGCCGCCGCGGTTGCTAACAGCGCCGCTCAGGCGCAGGCTGTAGCTGACACAGTCGCCAGAACTGCTCATGATGGTGCCTTGTTGCTGGGCGGTGGTGGCGCGCTCGTCGGAGGTGGTGCAGTACTTGCCGGACCCGCTGTCGCAGTCGGTGGACTCGGTGGTTACGGACTCGGAGGTGCAGGGAAGCTCATTCACCACTAAATAGTCAATAATTAACATGTACCATTGCAACAAACAGATAATATCTACATCCATTTCGTATTCCTGTATAGAAATGGTTAGCAGCAGATCTTATGAGATTTATGACTGATCGACATGTACCTGAGTAAAACATGACTAGTGTGCCTTAATAAATTTAGGCGTACATCGAACTTTATTTTTATTTATTCCTTTTATTTTAACGTCATTCCTTTCCTTACTCTAATTATCTGATGTCGTCATATATTAGGTATCTTCATCTGTATCAGTAACCAGCTTCTGCCCGCAATTTCGTACGCGCAATCCCGTTTTCTTCCGTTCCCATAAGATTTTCAGGATTTCTTTTCTATCATAAGAACTTTTTCCTGACAATAACAAACACAACAAAAAAAAAATCAGCCACATCGGTCTAGCCGTTCTCAAGTTATGGCGTGACAACGGGAAACGGATTTCATTTTTATATATATTACTAGCGAACCCAACAGACGTTGTCCTGAATATCCACTTGAATGTATATACAAAAATTCATTCAAATTAGTTTAGCTGATTAGGATAAATAACCTAAACATCGACTGCAGTGCCATCTGCCGGGCTGATTTGTGAATCTAAACCATTCCCAGATCCCCTTGAACACACACAAAAAATTTCATCAAAATCGATCCAGTCGTTTGAGAGAAGTTCAGTGACATACACACTCACAGAAGAATTATAGAGGTATATATAAAGATGTATATAGATAAGGACGGAAAATGTACGAAACATTTCTGAAATAGTGCTTGAAACAAGTATAAACTACTTATAAAGTCTTCATTACGAACATTACAATAAATGTTCAGAAACGAGTTAGGTAACCCCGCTGCCGTTTGGTTAAATACCTCTAAGTTGACTGCACCGCACTACTAACGTAACGTAACGTAACACGTTACGTTCGCGTTGACAAGTAGAATATCGACAGCGTTTCATGATTCTAGTTTTTATGGAACTCATTTTACTAGTATTTTTTTCAGAAGCTGTCGTATAGTAAAAAGGTACTCATAATATAGTCAATCATACACGCGCAGCTGATACGATTACGGGTAGGCAGAGATAATGCACATATAGGTAGTAAATTTTACACTCACTTTTTTCATCATTTTATGGAAAATAGTACAGCAAGAGTTATACATGACATAACATAACATAACATAACATCACGCCTTTTTATCCCCGAAGGGGTAGGCAGAGGTCAGAGGTGCACATTTCGACACTTAATGCCACTGTACAAT